GAAGAATGCTGGTGCAATTTTGATTGGGAGTGCATTGAATATGTAGGTAGCTTTGGGTAATACTGACATTTTGACAATATTCTTCCAACCCATGAGCACGGAATGCTTTTCCATTTCTTTATATCTTCTTCAGTTTCCTTCATAAGCTTTCTATAGTTTTCAGCATACAGATCTTGTACATCTTTGGTTAGATTTATTCCTAGGTATTTTATGCTTCTTGGTGCAATTGTGAATGGGATCAGTTTCTTTATCTGTCTTTCTGTTGCTTCATTATTAGTGTATAAGAATGCAGCTGATTTCTGTACATTGATTTTGTATCCTGCAACTTTGCTGAATTCATGTATCAGTTTTAGCAGACTTATGGTGGAGTCTGTTGGATTTTCCATGTATACTATCATGTCATCTGCAAAAAGTGAAAACTTCATCTTTCCCAATTTTGATGCCTTTGATTTCCTTTTGTTGTCTGATTGCTGATGCTAGAACTTACAACACTATGTTAAACAACAGCGGTGAGAGTGGACATCCCTGTCGTGTTCCTGATCTCAGGGAAAAAGCTCTCAGCCCTGCAGCCCAGGAATGAATTCCGCTTGACCATGGTGAATAGTTCTTTTTATATGCTGTTGAATTCGATTTGCTAGTATCATATTGAGAATTTTTGCATCCATATTCATCAGGGATATTGGCCTGTAGTTCTCTTTTTTTACTGGGTCTCTCTGGTTTAGGAATCAAAGTAATACTGGCTTCATAGAATGAGTCTGGAAGTTTTCCTTCCCTTTCTGTTTTTTGGAATAGCTTGAGAAGGATAGGTATTATCTCTGTTTTAAACATCTGGTAGAAATCCCCTGGGAAGCCATCTAGTCCTGGACTCTTATTTGTTGGGAGATTTTTGATAACTGATTCAATTTCTTCGCTGGTTATGGGTCTGTTCAAGCTTTCTATTTCCTCCTGATTGAGTTTTGGAAGTGTGTGGGTGCTTAGGAATTTGTCCATTTCTTCCAGGTTGTCCAGTTTGTTGGCATATAGTTTTTCATAGTATTCCCTGATAATTGCTTGTATCTCTGAGGGATTGGTTGTAATAATTCCATATTCATTCGTGATTTTATCTATTTGGGCCGTCTCCCTTTTCTTTTTGAGAAGCCTAGCTAGAGGTTTATCAATTTTATTTTTTCAAAAAGCCAACTCTTGGTTTCATTGATCTGCTCTACAGTTTTTTTAGATTCTTTATTGTTTATTTCTGCTCTGATCTTTATTATTTCTCTTCTGCTGGGTTTATGGTGTCTTTGCTGTTCTGCTTCTATTTCTTTTAGGTATTCTGTTAGATTTTGTATTTGGGATTTTTCTTGTTGCTTGAGATAGGCCTGGATTGCAATGTATTTTCCTCTCAGGACTGCCTTCACTGCATCCCAAAGCATTTGGATTGTTGTATTTTCATTTTCGTTTGTTTCCATATGTTTTTTTAATTTCTTCTCTAATTGCCTGGTTGACCCACTCATTCTTTAGTAGGATGTTCTTTAACCTCCATATTTTTGGAGGTTTTCCAGATTTTTTCCTGTGGTTGATTTCAAGCTTCATAGCATTGTGGTCTGAAAGTATACATGGTACGATCTCAATTCTTGTATACTTATGAAGGGCTCTTTTGTGACCCAGTATGTGATCTATCTTGCAGAATGTTCGTGTGCACTTGAGAAGAAAGTATATCCTGTTGCTTTGGGATGCAGAGTTCTAAATATATCTGTCAAGTCCATCTGATCCAATGTATCATTCAGGGCCCTTGTTTCTGTATTGACCGTGTGTCTAGATGATCCATTTCTGTAAGTGGAGTGTTAAAGTCCCCTGCAATTACCACATTCTTATCAATAAGGTTGCTTATGTTTGTGAGTAATTGTTACACATTTGGGGCTCCCGTATTCGGTGCATAGACATTTATATTTGTTAGCTCTTCCTGATGGATAGACCCTGTAATTATTATATAATGCCCTTCTTCAACTCTTGTTACAGCCTTTAATTTAAAGTCTAGTTTGTCTGATATAAGTATGGCTACTCCAACTTTCTTTTGACTTCCAGTTGCATGATAGATAGTTCTCCATCCCCTCACTTTCAATCTGAAGGTGTCCTCAGGTCTAAAATGAGTCTCTTGTAGACAGCAAATAGATGGGTCTTGTTTTTTTATCCGTTCTGATACCCTGTGTCTTTTGGTTGGAGCATTTAGTCCATTTACAATTCAGTGTTATTATTGAAAGATAGGGGTTTAGAGTCATTGTGATATCTGTAGGTTTCATGCTTGTAGCGGTGTCTCTGGTACTTTGTCTCACAGGATCCCCCTTAGGATCTCTTGTAAGGCTGGTTTAGTGGTGATGAATTCCTTCAGTTTTTGTTTGGGAAGACCTTTATCTCTCCTATTCTAAATGACAGGTTTGCTGGATAAAGGATTCTTGGGTGCATATTTTTTCTGTTCATCACATTGAAGATTTCCTGCCATTCCTTTCTGGCCTGCCAAGTTTCAGTAGAGAGATCTGTCACGAGTCTTATCGGTCTCCCTGTATATGTTAGAGCACGTTTATCCCTAGCTGCTTTCAGAATTTTCTTTATCCTTGTATTTTGCCAATTTCACTATGATATGTCGTGCAGAAGATCGATTCAAGTTACGTCTGAAGGGAATTCTCTGTGCCTCTTGGATTTCAGTGCCTTTTTCCTTCCCCAGATCAGGGAAGTTCTCAGCTATTATTTCTTCAAGTACCCCTTCAGCACCTTTCCCTCTCTCTTCCTCCTCTGGAATACCAATTATGCATAGATTATTTCTCTTTAGTGCATCACTTAGTTCTCTAATTTTCCACTCATACTCCTGGATTTTTTTATTTCTCTTTTTCTCAGCTTTCTCTTTTTCCATAATTTTATCTTCTAGTTCACCTATTCTCTCCTCTGCCTCTTCAGTCCGAGCTGTGGTTGTCTCCATTTTATTTTGCAGCTATTTATAGCATTTTTAAAAGCTCCTCCTGGCTGTTCCTTATTCCCTTGATCTCTGTAGCAATAGAGTCTCTGCTGTCCTCTATACTTTTTTCAAGCCCAGCGATTAATTTTATGACTATTATTCTAAATTCACTTTCTGTTATATTAAATCCTTTTTGATCAGTTCGTTAGCTGTCGTTATTTCCTGGAGATTCTTTTGAGGGGAATTCTTCCGCTTGGTCATTTTGGATAGTCCCTGGAGTGGTGCGGGACTGCGGGGCACTTCCCCTGTGCTGTCTTGAGTAACTTGCGTTGGTGGGTGTCTGCCCCCAGCCCACCGCTGGGGCCACAGTCAGACTGGTGCGTGCCTTCTCTTCCCCTCTCCTAGGGGTGGGATTCACTGTGGGGTGGCGTGGCCCGTCTGGGCTACTTGCACACTGCCAGGCTTGTGGTGCTGGGGATCTGGCTTATCAGCTGGGGTGGATCGGCAAGGTGCGCGGGGGCAGGAGGGGCAGGCTCAGCTCGCTTTTCCTTTGGTGGTCTGCTTCAGGAGGGGCCCTGCAGCACCGGGAGGGAATCAGACCCGCCACCGGAGGGATGGATCTGCAGAAGCACAGCGTTGGATGTTTGCGCGGTGCAAGCAAGTTCCCTGGCAGGAACTGGTTCCCTTTGGGATTTTGGTGGGGGATGGGCGAGGGAGATGGCACTGGCGAGGTCCTTTGTTCCCCGCCAAACTGAGCTCTGTCGTCCGGGGCTCAACAACTCTCCCTCCCGTTGTCCTTCTCCAAGCAGAGCTGTTAGCTTATAACCTTCCAGATGTTAAGTCCCGCTTGCTGTCCGAACACACTCCATCCAGCCCCTCCGTTTTTGCAGGCCAGACTCAGGGTCTCTGCTTGGTCGGCGGGCTGCCCCTCTGCCCCGGCTCCCTCCCCCCAGTCCGTGTAGTGCACACTGCCTCTCCACCCTTTCTACCCTCTTCTGTGGGCCTCTCGTCTACACTTGGCTCCAGAGAATCCGTTCTGCTAGTCTTCTGGTGGTTTTCTGGGTTATTTAGGCAGGTGTGGGTGGAATCTAAGTGTTCAGCAGGACGCGGTGAGCCCAGCGTCCTTCTACACCACCATCTTCTTCCTCAAGCCTTTATCGTGAGGTGGTATCTCATTGTGGTTTTGATCTGTATTTCCCTGATGATGAGTGATGTGGAGCATTTTTTCATGTGTTGGTTGGCCATCTGGATGTCGTCTTTGGAGAAGTGTCTATTCATGTCTTTTGCCCATTTCTTCACTGGATTATGTTTTGGGTGTTGAGTTTGGTAAGTTCTTTATAGATTTTGGATACTAACCCTTTATCTGATATGTTGTTTGCAAATTTCTTCTCCCATTCTGTCGGTTGCCTTTTAGTTGTGTTGATTGTTTCCTTTGCTGTGCAGAAGCTTTTTGTTTTGACGAGGTCCCAGTAGTTCATTTTTGCTTTCGTTTCCCTTGCCCCCGGAGATGTGTTGAGTAAGAGGTTGCTGTGGCCAAGATCAAAGAGGTTTTTGCCTGCTCTCTCCTCGAGGATTTTGATGGCTTCCTGTCTTACATTTAAGTCTTTCCTCCATTTTGAGTTTGTTTTTGTGTCTGGTGTAAGAAAGTGGTCCAGGTTCGTTCTTCTGCATGTCACTGTCCAGTTTTCCCAGCACCACTTGCTGAGGAGACTGTATTCCATTGGATATTCTTTCCGGCTTTGTCACAGATGAGTTGGCCATACGTTTGTGGGTCCATTTCTGGGTTCTCTATTCTGTTGCATTGATCTGAGTGTCTGTTTTTGTGCCAAAAAATTTTTCAAGTGTTTTAAGAGCTCTGTGCCAGACAGCTGGAACTAACCACAATATCACGAGTATGTAGTAAGATTGCAGGGTATTTCTAAAAAGTTTTAGTCCCCCAAAATACGACATGAAGTGGGTGGTTAGTGGAGAGCCATGTACATCATGGGGAAAAATCATTAAGAACCGGTTTGCAGGTGACCTCTTTCCAATAAGGAGTAATTTCGCAATGACCTGGGGTTTGATGTTACAGGTATCAGTGTCATTTGAGGATGTGACCATGGACTTCAGCAGGGAGGAGTGGGAGCAGCTGGGCCCCGCCCAGAGATGCCTGTACTGGGACGTGATGCTGGAGATCTGCAGCCACCTCCTCTCCCTGGGTGAGCACCCCTGCCCGGGCCAGCCCCCCCCCCCCCCCCGCCCGAATCTCGGACAGACCTCGTCGAGATTTCCCTCCTTGTTGTGGGACACAGCAGGGCAAATGAAGTATGTTATCTGTTTGCCTTTGATTTGTCCCTGTCTTGTCGTTCCTTTAGGGCCCTTTCGAATCGTACTTAGTTCCTAAGTAAAAGATGTTGACTTTTCCGAGGAGCCGATGCAAAGCTTCACTGAATGGCCTGTAAAGCCCAAGACCACATCCAAATCCGATACTCTTTCTCACGAACAGGGTACCCCATTCCCAGGCCAGAGATGATTTTCAGGATGGAAAAGGAAGAGGAGCCATGGATAAGGGAGGCTCAGCTCCCACATCAGTGGCGTCCAGGTGAGTGACTGTTACCTGGCAGACACGTGGACATCTCTGGGCGGGGGGGGCATTATTCAACCTGCCACCCTACCCATCCCCCGGTGGATGGACCGCACGCCCTGCGCTCTCCCGGTTTCTACAACTAACGCTGTGATGGCCGTGGGGGCAGGCGTAAGAATTTCTCAGAGGTGACTAGGCAGGAGAGGGCTTCCCTGATCCCTGGACACAAGCGTACTTAGTGTGACTAAGTAAACCATAGACTCTTCTGATGGGCTACAGAATCCGTGCTCTGGCGTGAGAAGGCTCAAGGACCCACCCTTGTACGCCTTGCTTGCCAGCGTGGCCTTGATCAGGTTTCTCCTGGCCCATGTGATAGGCCATTGGGCTGTTTCTTGGGTTTTTTTTTGTTTTTTTTTTTTAATTTTTTTTTTCAACGTTTATTTATTTTTGGGGGACAGAGAGAAACAGAGCATGAACGGAGGAGGGGCAGAGAGAGAGGGAGACACAGAATCGGAAACAGGCTCCAGGCTCTGAGCCATCAGCCCAGAGCCCGACGCGGGGCTCGAACTCCCGGACCGCGAGATCGTGACCTGGCTGAAGTCGGACGCTTAACAGGACGCTTAACCGACTGCGCCACCCAGGCGCCCCAGGCTGTTTCTTGTTTTAACGTCATTTAGCTAATACTGAGTTAGAGTGTCTCCTCATATCCTTCATGATCGGGCTTTCCGTCTATACGTTGCTTCTACATCTTGTTCGGTCCTTTTGTGTCCATGGAGTTTTCGTAAGGCCCTTTTTCTTTTTTATTTGCCCCCTGAATTCACTGGTTTGTCTTTTCTGTGGTGGATATTCTTCCTTCTTTTCCCCTAGTTGTGGCTCCTCCCCCTCAGAGCCCCAGGCTTACCCTCTGGTCATCCCTTCATATGGTAATTCCCTTGAAGGGCCCTTCTCTTCACAACACCAAGCCTCAGGGTTTTTTTTCTGGTGATCTCTAGATCAACCCCTCCAGTTCCTGTGCCTAAACCCTTCTCTTACCTTATTCAGTGGTGTGGTGGACAATTCCTGCGGGATGGCTCACTTCCCTTATTTGCTGGAGATCAGAAATTGGAATCCTTACCAAATCAAACATTTTTCTCAGCCTTTTACATTTTGTCAGATTCTTTTTTTTTTTTTTTAAGTTTATTAGAGCAGGGCACGTGGGTGGCTCAGTCAGTTAAGCGTCTGACTTCGGCTCAGGTCATGATCTCATGCTCATGAGTTCGAGCCCCACATCGGACTCTGTGCTGACAGCTCAGAGACTGGAGCCTGCTTAGGATTCTGTGTCTCCTCTCTCTCTGCCCTTCCCCTGCTCATACTCTGTCTCTCTTTCTCTCTCTCAAAAATAAATAAAAAACATTAGTTTATTAGAGCCAGCGAGTGGGGAAGAGCAGAGAAAGAATCCCACGCAGGCTCCGCACTGTCAGCTCAGAGCCTGGAACCTGCTTCAGATTCTGTGTCTCCCTCTCTCTGCTCCTCCCCTGCTCACACTCTGTCTCTCTCAAAAATAAATAAAAGCATTAAAAAAAATAATAAAGTCAGACACTCAACTGACTGAGCCAGCCACCCAGGCGCCTCACGTATTTCTACATTCAAATGTATCTAGAGAGTTTCATTGCTTGTGCTGTACCTAGTGTTCCTATTTTCTTGTCTACTACAGAGATGGATATACGTCAGTATAGACAGTATATACTGTCTGTAGGATGATCCTGTCTGCGTGGTCTGATTGATCTCCACTTTCCGTACTTAATCTTCGTTATGTCAGTATCGAGCATGAGGAAACCATTCAGGATATAAAAATTATTGAATTTCTGAAGATAGGCAAAAAATACTTTTTTCTATTTTGGAAGGAAACAAAATACCTGCTGAGGTAAATTCAAAGACACCAAGATTGGGGCGCCTGTGTGGCTCAGTCGGTGAAACGTCTGCCTTCGACTCCCTCTCCTTTGCCCCTTCCCTGTCTGTTCTCTCTCTCTCTCCTGTGTCTGAAAAACAAAGACACCGAGATCATCATTAGACAGAGTGGGTGACAACATGAGATGTTAAAACCATCAGCCTTTTGGCATTAATGTTGTCTGTTTAATGGAGGCCAACTCAAAAAATACATATCGGGATGAAGGGTGTAGGGAGTGACTGCTTGTGAACGTCCAAGGCGATGGCATCAGCCCAGAGGAGTGGCATTGGGGGTAACGTGAAGGACATGGTACTTGTAACTGTTCTGCATGGCAGCTGTGAGCTCTAAAGCTAAATTGGGGTAGAAGAGGTGAGAATATGCTTGGATTTGGGAATAAATTAGACTTTTTTTGGAAACAGCTTTGTGGGGGGGTTTTTTTGTTTTTTTTTAATATTTGAGGGAGAAAGAGAGAGAATCCAACTGGTGGAGGGTTAGAGAGAGAGGGAGACACAGGATCTGAAGCAGGCTTCAGGTTCTGGGCTGTCAGCCCAGAGCCCAACATGGGGCTCAAACCCACAAACCATGAGATCGTGAGATCATGACTTGAGCCAAAGTCGGACGCTTAACCGACTGAGCCACCCAAGTGTTCCTATTTGTTTTTTAAATGTCTATTTATTTTTGAGAGAGAGTGACCAGGAGAGGGGCAGAGTGGGGGGACAGAGGACCCGAACTGGGCTCTGTGCAGAGAGCCTGATGCAGAGCTCTAACTCACAAACTGATTCTGTCACTTGAGCCGAAGTTGGGTGCTTAACCGACTGAGCCACCCAGGCGCCCCAGAACAGCATTATTAACGTTAAGCTGCCTTGGAGAATTATGGACAAGCTTTTCAGCATAGTGCTGATATTTTACATTGAGCGTCTTCAGTAGTGATGTACATTTCATTGGGTTCTCCAAGAGTTTTATGATCTGAATGAACCGTTCAAAATGGTCAAATCACTGTCTGGGAACCCAAAGTAGAATGTCTTCAGAAAACGTGAAAACCAGTGTTTAGGTAGAATTGCTATATAAGAGCGCAAAATGAAAGAAAAAACCAAATAGCCTGATATAAAAAGTCAGGGACTCGAGTAGACGTTTCTCCTGAGGTGACATATGAGTGGCCAACAAGTATATGAAAAGATGCTCAGTATTAGGGTGAGGCAAAGCAAAACCACAGCGGTAACCAACTCACCTGCTAGACTGGCTACTGTTAAAAAATCAAAATAGTAAGTGTTGGCAAGGATGTGACCCTCACACTGTTGTTGAGAATGTAAAATGATGCCGCTACTATGGAAGACGGTACGGTGATTCCTCAGAAAACTAAGCCTGGGGGCGCCTGGGTGGCTCAGTGGGTTAAGTGTCCAACTTCAGCTCAGGTCATGATCTCATGGTTCATGGGTTCGAGCCCCACGTCAGGCTCTGTGCTGACGGCTCAGTGCCTGGAGCCTGCTTCGGATTCTGTGTCTCCCTCTCACTGCCCCTCCCCCACTCGCAGTCTGTCTCAAAAATAAATACACATTAAAAAACTAAGCATAGAATGACCATATGATGCAGCCAGCAATTAATTCCACTTCTGTATATATATCTGGGAGAATTGAAAGGATCTTGAAGAGAAGATTTGCACACCTATGTTCACAGTAGCTGAGAAGTGGGTGCAACCCAGTTGTCCATTGATGGGTGAACGGATTAAGAAAATGTGTGTACACACCATGCGATGTGATTCAGCCTTAAAAAGAAAGGTAAATCTGACCCATAATATGATATGGATGATTCTTGAGGATATTATAAGTGACAAACAGACAAATACTATCTGATTCCAGTCACAATAGGAGGTTAGGGGGTGTCTAGAGAGAGTCCTGTTCACAGAGACAGAAGGCAGGATGGTGGTATCCAGGGGGGGAGGGGGAGCTGCCATTTCAGTGGCATCGCGTCTGTCGCAAAATAAAAGTTGTGGAGGGGCGCCTGGGTGCCTCAGTCAGTTAAGCATCCAACTTCAGCTCAGGTCTTGATCTCTCGGTCCATAGTTCATAGTTGGAGCCCCGCATCGTGCTCCGTGCTGACAGCTCAGAGCCTGGAGCCTGCTTTGGATTCTGTGACTCCTTCTCTCTCTGCCCCTCCACCTCTCATTCTCTGTCTCTGTCTCTCTCTCAAAAATAAACACTAAAAAAAAAAAAACAAACAAGTTGTGGAGAGATGGGTTACACAACAGTGTGAACATGCCTGACACTCTTGCACTTAGAAATGGCTGAGGGGGTAAATTTTACACTGTGCATTTTTTTTAACCACAGTTTTTTTTTAACAGTTAACACTAAAGACAAAAAGCATTCGCATTTTTTAAAAAAGTGAATGATGTGGCGCCTGGGTGGCTCAGTTGGTTAAGCGTCCGACTTCGGCTCAGGTCATGATCTCACGGTCCGTGAGTTCGAGCCCCACATCGGGCTCTGGGCTGACAGCTCAGAGCCTGGAGCCTGTTTCAGAATCTGTGTCTCCCTCTCTCTCTGACCCTCCCCGGTTCATGCTCTGTCTCTGTCTCAAAAATAAATAAACGTTAAAAAAAATTTTTTTTTAAATAAATAAGTGAATGATGAGTGAGGTTTGGGGACAGGACAAAGGTCTGAGATACAGTTTCTCCAGGGGACTGACAGAAGAAATAAGATATGATGTTCTCTTCACAGTTGGTATTTAAATCTCAGGGCAGATGAAGGAATAATAAAATGCCATCACTCTTTTTGTATTTCTTTTTTCTTTTTTTAAAAATTTTTTGATGTTTATTTTTGAGAGAGACAGAGTGAGAGAGAGCACGAGTAGGGAAGGGGCAGAGAGAGAGGGAGACACAGAATCCGAAGCAGGCTCCAGGCTCTGAGCTGTCAGCACAGAGCCTGACGCGGGGCTTGAACTCACAAACCATGAGATCGTGACCTGAGCCGAAGTTGGACACGTAAGTGACTGAGCCACCCAGGCGCTCCTTCCTTTTCTGTTCAGCATCTCTTGCATCTTGTGTTCTATACTAGTCAACTGAATTAGCGATGACTCCTGTTCTTGGTGGATAAAAAACGATACATTGGGTTAGCGTAAGGCTGAAAGTTCTACAGAGAGACCAAGGTTCAGTTTAGTAATTTCTAGAATACTTTTCTCTCCTGTAAAAAGTTCAAAAGGCAGATGAGCAGGAAGCCTCACTTCTTGTATTCTCCGGGTGTCTAAGGTTTTCCCTAGCTGTTGCGCTGTGCTTTAGGACACTGTCCATGTGCGTGACTGGTGGAGTCTTTTGGGTTTTCCACGTAGAGTGTCCTGTCATCCGTGAAGAGTGCAAGTTTGACTTCTTTGCCAAGTTGGATGCCTAATATTTCGTCTTGTTGTCTGATTGCTGAGGCTCGGACTTCCAACACTATGTTAAACAGCAGCAGTGAGAGTGGACATCCCTGTCGCGTCCCTGATCTCGGGGGAAAGCTCTCAGTTTTTCTGTCGATGTGCGCGACTGAATGTGCACTGCATCCCAGGGCAGGTTCTGTGAGGCAGAAGGGGGGTGCGGGGTATCGAGAAGCTGTGGTCTTTCCCCCCGGGGCTGGAATCGGTGCATCATGTCGTATGCGTATTCCATCAGCCAAAACTGTCTCCCGGTCACATCTCATCACAAAGGACATTGAGAACTGTTACGTAGCTTGGCAGGCACGTACCTGGTCACAGTTAACTTCTATGAAAGACGGTGACACAGATTTCGGGGGACAGCTTGCTTGTCCACTCTTCCAGCGTTCCTTTCCTGGGTTGTAAGTTCATTTCTAGGTTCAAGCAAACAGATTTCAGCTTCCTGGAGAGTTGCCTTTGGGCAGCGGTACCCTCTTGCTGCTTGGCCATGTCAGGGCTGGTGCCGTCTCCGTTTTGCAGACGACACGTAGGGCGGGTGGACTCACCAAATCCACCTTGCTTCTGACAAGCGGGGGGAGACGGGGGATGAGTCACGACTTAGATCCAAAAGCTAACGAAGAGCTGGCCGCCGAGCCCCTCCGGCCCGCCCCGGCCGTTACCCTGTGCTGCCCGTGTCCGCGTTTCCTGGAGTCGTCCATAGGTGTGCGTATCTGTGGGTCTCTGGACTGTCTGCCCGCGGAAGTGGAGCCAGGCTGCCCTTGTTCGAATCTGACTCCCACCAGAGCTCAGCGAGGTGACTGTGGTCAGTTCCTTATGCTGCACCACCTCCTCTGTGAGACAGGGGTAGTAAGTGCCATTACGCATGGAGGGGTGTGAGGGTTGAAGGAGTTTCTGTGGCACGATGTCGCACGGTCTGGCACGCGGTCGTGCCGTCCGCAGACAGGCTGACACGCAGTAAAGTCTGTGGCTGTTTCCTCCTCATCACCAGCCTCGCCCCCGTCATTATCCTGCGACTTGCAATTTCTGTGTTCGGTCTCCATCCGCTCCTCTGACGTGTCCTCCTTCCTCTGTTAACTTGTGTCTACCTCTTCATCTTTTTCTCCTTCTAGAAGGGGAGTTTGGACTCAAAACCTCACGACAGAAAATTTTTGAAAAAGCTTCGTTTCGCGACGGTAAGGAACTTGCGGCCCCGGGAGGCGGGTCAGGGTGCTCCGTCTTGGGAGATGTGAACCCCACAACGAGGCGTCTGCAGAAGCAAGGGAAACCTTCGCGGCACGGGGCTCTCCTCAGTAGGGAAACACCGGATACAGAGAGAGACCGCGGGTGTAAAGACCCGGGAAAAATCGCTCCTGTGAGGCCCCATCTTGTTCCTCCACAAAAAAGACCTCCTAAACGTGGCTCATTTGCGAAAAGTTTGAAGCCCAACCTAGGAGGAAGTCCTCAAAAGCAAAGCGACGGCACAGAACACCTCGATGGGACTGTCGGCTCTGGCCGGCTACTCCCCCATAGCCCTTCCGGTCCTGGCTACAAGAACGTTCGTCCAGGAGAGAACCTGTGTGAAGGGAATCCACATATGAAAGTCGGCAGCCGTAAACCGCCACACGCACAACATCGAGTTCATACCTGGGAGAAACCCGATAAATGTGCCGAATGTGGCAGGGGCTTCGGCCAGAAGCCACCCCTCGAGCAGCAGAGATTCCACAGCGTGGAAAACCTCCAGGAGAGCAGGAAATGCACGACCAGCCTTGCCCCGCGGCCAGACCTCGGCGCGTATCTGCCCGCTCACGCAGGACACGTTCCGTACATATGTAAGGAGTGCGGGAAAGTCTTCGCTCAGAGGTCGGAACTGACGACACACCAGAAAAGCCACGCCAGACAGAAGCCCCACAAATGCCAGGAATGTGGAAAAGCCTTTTTCCAGGCGTTATCTCTCTTCAGACACCAGAGAACCCACACTCGAGGGAAGCTCTACGAGTGCGGCGAGTGTGGGAAAGGCTTCTCCCAGAAGTCCACCCTCGCCATCCATCAGAAAATCCACGCCGGCGAGCGGCAGTATGCGTGCGGCGAGTGTGGGAAGGCCTTCACCCAGAAGTCCGCGCTCAGCCTGCACCGGAGGATCCACTCGGGGGAGAAGGCCTACGCGTGCCTCGCGTGCGGCCAGGCCTTCGTGCAGAAGGCCCACCTGACCGTGCATCAGAGAAGCCACACCGGAGAGAAGCCCTACAAGTGCAGCGACTGCGGGAGAGCCT